GTGGACACTGATATGACTTCTCATGTCACTGCCAGCTGTCAAGAGAAGTTCTGAGGCTGTTAAAGAGCTAAAACTGAACAGTTTGTGGCTGTATTTTTGTGGCCAGTATAAGGAATTGAAAAATATGATAACCAAAATATTTTGCAAATTACTTAGAACTGGATCTTTGGGAGAGGGAGTTGTTCAATGTTTTGTGAAGTGACAATCATGTATTCCTTAGTGAAAATGCCACATGACAGTAGCACTGAGATTCCTGGTACACTAACAGTAAAATTTCCTTCAGGTAAGGCAGCTGTAATGTTTCAAGTCTGGAAACTGGCAGATGTTTAGCATTTCTTACCTTGAGGCCACAGATACCTGCTGTTTGATTTAAGGCATTAGAAAAACTATCAGCATGGCTTGAACTGAAGTCGCTGTAGAATAAATAGCCACAGCAGTTGAATTCTCCTGATTTCCTATTGTTTTATTTGCCCTAGAGTGCACTGCACTATTTTAAAGTGACACACCTCAGGGGTTCACAGCAGACTGTCCTCCGCTTATTCCAGCATGACTGATCCAACATTTGGTTTGCTGGAAAAAGCTGTTTTAAAAGCCATTATTTTAAAATCCCTAGGATGGTACACACTAACATTATTTAAAAGCCAAGGAATAACAGTGCATAAAATCTACTCTAATAGACTAGTAACCATTTTTTATTAGGGTACATAATGGAAATAGGTTTTAGCTTACCAGATCATATCATTAATCTCTCAAGAATTTGATATATGACTCTCATCAGAGCTGCTCCAGAGAAAACCAATCTCTTAATTCCCATGTAAACTCCAGGCAAACAGTAGCAAAGAGCTAATGTCCTGAAAAGAAGGTTCCCTGAATTTTATGTACATATATATATATTTTAAAATGCACGCTATTTTCCTGTTGCTAAAAGTACTGGTTTCCACGTTACATGGCTTGTTTCAGTGACCTCCTTGTATTCTAAATTCATTACCTGTACCTCCTTTTTCTTAGAATCTACAAGTGGCAATGCTTGCAATTTGTAGTCCCTGCATGTGTAGGGTATCTGTGCTGATTGAAACTCTACGGTATGGTAAACTATGATTTCTTCAAGCAGATTACCAATCCAGATATCCCAATAACCCATTTCCAAGAGTGACCAAATGAGGGTGCTTCAGGAAAAATGCAGGCATTTCTAAAGCAGGGGAATAACGAGCAGTACATGCATTGGAAAGTTTGTTTAGTAGTGATCTTAGGGCTTAAAGTGAGTGATTTTTATTTTCTTTACAAATATATTTTCCTCATGCCTGATATAATTGGAACAGCGAGTTCCACAGCTTTTTTTTTTTTTTTTTGTGTGATGTACTAAATGTATTTTTTTTAAATCAGGTTTCAACTTCTTGACTTTCCTTTCTGTTAAATGATGTGCCCTTTTTCTATAAACAAGTAACTACACTGAAGATAGACAATTGGTATTTTTATTCTGTTAAAAAATGTGACATTTCAAAAAGGTTATAATTCAATATTTCATTTTGTACATGTCGTGTGCCCTCCCCTCCTTGTAATTTTTGTGAAATCAGAGCAGTTTGCTATCTCATTTCTTAGGAACTTTATGATGCCACTATGCCTGTGTTCCCCTGAATCCTGCAAGGACAACTTTCCCCAGGCTGTTGTCAGAAAACTAGGAAATTGTAAAAATTGCTTGGTTTTAAGGATAAAGTAGGGAGTTCCCCAGATTAGGAATAGAAAGTTGTAACTGTGCATATTAGAGTTCTCCGGGGAAAAGATTCCCAAGCACCCCCAAAGGAAATTTTTTTCCTACAAACCTTTACCATCAGGACAGTAGACCTCATGAGGATATGCTATTGTGTCCTGTCACCTGCTCCATATAGATGATGATTGCACATCTATTTCCGTATGACCATCGCCCTCAATGAAGTGTGAATTCTGTTCCTGCTCATCCATTTCCAGCTTTCCTATTGATGACATTGCAGTGCCTGCTGCCTGAGTTGCTGCTGACCACTGCAAAAACCCGGTGAAGGGTGAGGGAATGACAGGTTTACTCACACAGCTGCAGCATACCTCTGAGAGGACTTGGTGATGACCTGCTCCCCACCCTCACAGATCAGGAAGATGGGTTAATAATATCCTCATAGTCTCTGCAGTTGCTCTGCTTCTTGTTGATCAGAGATTGGGTTTAGAGGATGAGGCATCATCCAGCTTGTGGGGCAACGTTGTCCTCAGGACAGGGGATAACCAGCAATGGATGCAGGAAGACCTCTGGATGTGTAGGGGAACAGTAGAGGCCTGCTGCCAAGAACAAGTGCCATAACTTTGTCATTGCTTAACAGCATTTCAGGAGCAACAGTACAAGATGGTGGCTATCATCCTGCATAGCCTTATTACACCCAACCTGGCTACTCAGCAACTGACCATTTTGAGATAGGTAAATGCAAATGAAGACAGTGAAAGCTATCATCAAGGTATCTGCAGCCATCCTCCAACCCTATTCTTATGGATAGTGTTAATGGGAAACAAGAATGAGATCACCGAAGCCTTTTCTCACTGGGAATGCCTGAACTGTTTGGATTTTGCGGATATCATGCCCTCCCAGTCCAGCACCAAAGCAACAGGAGCAGACCTACGCTGTCAGGTCTACCACTAGGTTGCTTTTTGGGCTTTTAAGGACTATTGCTGCAGATTCACTGTTGTCTTAGAAGGCTTCTTGGGAAAGACACAGTGCCTGCACCCTTTGGTTCACCTTGGATTCCGGTCTGTGTGTGCCTACTCATTTCTTTTATGAAGAGGAGTGTGCTAAATGAACAACGAAGGATGATATGTGCTCAAGCCATACTTGTGAAATCCTGAGAGGCTCAACTCGGGGGTGATTTAAGATTCCCTGCCTTTCTACAAGCACAGTGCTATTGGATCCAAAGCTTCTAGAGGAAATTTTGAGTTTCAAATTCTTGGTTGTCCCTACAGTGGCTTTGCCCTGGAGTTTTGAACCTAAATAATCTCTTGTCATATATCTAAGGAGGCCCATGACACAGATCTTCCATGAAAAGTTGGGATCCCGGATAGCCTGCTTGGGGGAAATAAGACGTGTTTCTAATTGGAGAAGAGTCCTTGACAGGCAGAAACCTTAGCTGTGTTTCCTTTGAAACCATTTTTTAAAATGATACATTCCCACAAAATATTTCTGTTTTGAAAAATTCGCATTTTATACTGGAACTATGCAGTTAAAAATTCCCAGCTCATCCTAAGTTCAATTTAGTGAGTATTATTCATGGCACCCTAAATAGTGACTCTCAAAGCTGAACTGTCCCAGTCATTTCATTCTCCACATAATCAACGTTTTCCCAAGTGTCTCTTCATTTTTGTTGTCTGTCTGTAAACCTTCTGCCACATCCTTTTTTGATGAAGTGATCAGTGCAGAACAGTGGTTCAGAGGAAGCTCGCTCGTTGATTTATATGATGGTGTTCGCTTTCAATATCGTTTTCAACATCGCTCCGTTTGCATCCTAACATTCTGTTTGCTCTTTTGATCGATGCCGTGTATTGAGCAGAGACTGTTATTGAGTTGTTCAGAGAAGTATCCGAGTCCTTTTTTCCCCTCTGTGGTTGCAGGTAATTTAGAGCCCTGTAAGGTGCATTAGTAGGTCAGATTTCTCTTCCCAATGTCTATCACTATCTTTTCTTTCTGAGCCCTGCGAGGCAGGCAGGCAGTGGTACTGCAATCAGGCTTCCCCCGAAGGAGCACAGCTTGAAATTTGGTCTGGGACTCCGTGAGCACACTGCACCAGCCGCCATCCGGGAGAGGTGGGGAGGAAATGTCTTCCCCACAGAGATCTGTCCTCTTCGTCATCAGTGTGACAGCCCCCCCTCCCCTTGCTCTCACATTCATGCACTTCAGCTGCAAGTTGCCGGAGGAGCAAATACTAGCAAGAAGGCGACATGTCCTTAGTTTTCTCAAAGAATTGTGCCTCAGACGCCTAGGTTTTACAGCAGACTGTATGATGTATGAAGAAATTATTTCTTAGTATTACCCTAAAGATCATCTGATACATAACTGGTCAGAGCTATGGCTTAGGATGAGACATGGCAAGATAACTTCCTTCATTTAAATTGCTAATCCCAGTCCTATAAAACCATCTGTGGCCTTTCTTAAATGTTCTGTTTTTAAGGGACCTGAAGGCTTCCTGAATAACTAACCTCGGGGCTGCTGTGGAAAGTCTCAAGGTTTTGGGCTTTTGTCATTTTTTTTATTATATGCTTTTAATTGGCCATTCTACCACCTGTCTGCAAACTATGCTGTGAGTTGAGCACACCAACCAAACAATACAGACTGCCTCCAGGGAAATACAAAGAGCAAATAACACACAAGGAAAAAAATGAAAAATATATTGTAACATGGACAAAAAAAATAAAGTTTTTTTGCCACAAAAAAAAAAAGTTTAATATTAGAGTGGTCAGAGTGGAAAGACTTCTAAATAGATAAATGATCTAGATTTCATGGATGAAGATATTCTACATCTAGTAGGCAACTACTGAGAGATCAGTTTAGCCTCTTGGGCTTTTGCAGCATAACAGTTTGCTGCTTGTAAAACAAATAACATGGATTAAACTAGATTCATTTTTCTGGCAGATTAA